AGTTTGCATACTTGAGCTAAGGAAAGAGGGTTGTACTAGAAATGCAAACAGTAAAATTTTGTGTTTGTACAGTAAAGTGTGTATGTGTGTGTGTGTGTGTGTGTGAGAGAGAGAGAGAGAGAGAGGTGTGTATTTGGCTTATTCAGTTATATGTTATACCTATGCAACACAGTGGAATACTGCAATAAGTTTAGTATACGACCCATATTAATCAAAATTTTTTAAAATCTTATTTATATATATATATATATTTTTTTTTTATTATTAGGTTATTATTATACCCTCACTGGGGGCTGAGCCCCCCTAAAATGAAAATCCTAGAATCGCCCCAGATAACTACGTGTTAGTAAATAATGTCATAATTTATTGTTTTGTGAACAACTGCTTTAACTACTACATATCATCACACAGACTTCAGCAACCAGATCCAATCAATCATCTGTGCCATTATTTAGTCCATTTATTAGTCCTTCTGATACTAACTTATTTTTAATATCTGTCAGCATCTTTAACATTTACTCAAGTCAATTTCCATAAGAAGTTATCTTTACATTTACTTCAGTGTAATTATTGGTTAGGCTTCATTATACTGACTGACTACAACCATAAAATCTGATTAAATTCTTTCAAGTTTTAATAACAGCGTCGTTAATGAAGAATCTGGAATAAACACCGACCTCTTTCTTCTTTTCTATCTTCATGCTTCACTCTGTAGGGTTCTGGATCGATCGTGTTCTCTCTGTAATCATCAATAAACTCTGTCTTTACAGGTTTCTGTTCTTCCTGCTGCTCTGGATGCATGTCTTCACCTGTAAATGATTCGTGATGCTTTTGAAAACGTCGAAAATCGTTTGTTTTGAAACAGCAGTTCGGCTTGCGTCTCTTCTTTTTCTTCTTCTGGTGTTTTTGACAGTCTGGAAAAAATCTTGAAGGCGCCATTCCGCCACCTACTGGTATAGAGTGTGAAGCGCGCACAGTTTTAACAAGTTAAAGTTAATGTGGGGATAAAAAGAGAAAAAAGAGGGAAAGAGTAAAGGAGAGAAAAAGTAATTGTTTCTGTTGTAATACTGATAATTACTCGAAAAGTGGTACACTCTAAAGGTGGTTCAGTCTGCAGGATTGTGGAATAACTTAAAGATATAGTTCACCTAAAACTGAAAACTCTTTCATTTACTCACCCGCATGTTGTTCCAAACCTGTATACATTTCTTTCTTCTGCTGAACACAGAGGATGATATTTTGAAGAACGTGGGAAACAGAACAGTTCTAAGGCACCATTGATACAAATATTTTTATCCTACTATGGAAGTCAATGGTGTCCAAAAACAACATTGAAACAAGTTTTTCAAGCAGTACTTCATCCAATTAATGTTATAATGTTAACCTAATTAAGGTTCATAATGTAGAACATTTTTAACATTGTATGCTGTATGTGCATAGGTAGCTAGCAAACAAGGAATACAGCTGCTTATAGTCACATTTAGCTGAGTAAGATCATGATTGAGAAATGTTGGATACTGCTGGAAATGCTGCTATTTGTTTGCTCCAGTGAAGCATTTCTATTAATATAACTTTAAGTAATCAAACTCATTCCATATCAGCAGAATAGTGTGGTACAGAAGTATTTTACTTATACTAAATATAGGCTTAAAAATGCACTACTCAAAGTGACATGCCAGTGAAAAACTGTAATGTTGTGGAGAAGCTGGGGAAAAAGGGAGAGGCAAGGATCTATGTGCAGATATTTAATTGAAAAACTAGAACAAACAATAAGCCAAAAACCAAAGGGAACAAAGAGCAGAATGACTGACAAACAGACAACCATTACATTCGACAACTCACACAGAACTAAAGAAAAACTAGGGCTATATATACACAAGGGGGCTAACAAGTTTAACAAGATAACAAGACACACCTGGGGAGACTAATCAAGGGGAACCAATTAACAAACGGACAACATGAGTTTTTTTTTTTAGTTTTCCCATTCCATTGGGCAATATAGTGTATGTTTGGTGCGGTAGGGGGCCCAACCTCATATTCTTTCATAGGGCCCAAAATTGCCAGTGGCGCCCCTGACCACGCCTCCTCACACTGGTGCTGCGAGTCAGTTAAAGACAACATTTTGTCACTGTGATTGTGTGTGAATTCAACGAGCTGAAATATCAAGGTTAGATTAACTAACTTAATTATTATTAAGTTTATATCATGACCATGCCTCCTCACACTGGTGCTGCGAGTCCGTTAACGACACCATTTTGTCACTGTGTGATTGTGTGTGAATTCAATGAGCTGTGGATGAGAAGGTGGAAATTTTGTTTTAGATAAGTTAGTTGTATGGACGTTATTTTCCACCATTTACCTTTTATCGCTCTTTCTTTTCCTCGAGAGACTGTTTGTGATCGGCGAAAATTGTTGTTTTTCTAAACGATGGGACATTTCTCATCCGTTAGCTAGCTATTTTTCTCACACGTCTGCAGCGGAGAAAATGTCTCCAGTTACTATCGTAACCTCGGTTCCCTGAGAGTGGGAACGAGACATCACGGAGACATTTCTCTGTTATGGGAACACCTTCCCTTCCAACCTTTCCTGAAGTCCTATTGGCTCCCGCTAGTCCAAATAACTGGCCAATTGACGCGAAGTATGCAAATCGCATGCAAATACTGACGTGCTCGAGAGGCAGTATAAAATGCATGCGACAATTACGTCAGAATCTGAAACTGAACGCCGCTTAACTAGTCGAGCAGTGAACACGGCGACCTCCGTGATGTCTCGTTCCCGCTCTCAGGGAACCGAGGTTAAGATAGTAACCGGAGACCTTCCCTCTCTAGCTTTCACGAGACATCACTGAGACATTACTCTGTTATGGGAACGATATTCAATCCCGACGTGAGAGAGGCTACAATCAGTCTGTACAAGTCACATACTCAGCAAAGATAGAACACACAATACACACTCAGCGAAGATAGAACACACACAATTCCCAACCAATAGCGATGCTTGTTAGGCGGGCTCGCAGCTGATAGGTGGAGATAAGCCAGTGAGCGTCTAAAGCCCAGGTATACGAAATTTGCATATCGGGTCAGAGATAATGTATGCTGCGCTGAGAAACAGGGTAGAAGCAACAACAACCTGCACAGAGATAACGGTGTTAAGCAGCAGTATAACACATAACATGATGATGGTACACCAATCGAATTAGACATTGAATAGCAGGAGCTGCACTGAGTACAGGCAGGCAACAGCAACAATAGCATATAGGGCTGCGCAGAGTAATTACTGTGCGAGGCAGCAAACACACATGAATAGAGGTAGCATAAACGTGAATCAGTCACTCACCGACAGCACTTGGGAGGCTAAGGACTGAGTGTCCAGCTTGTAAAACCTGGCGAAGGTATTCTGAGAAGACCAGACGGCTGCAAAGCATATATCCTGAATAGACATACCTCTCGACCCCCCACGTTGAGTGGGCCCTAATGTGCAAAGGACATTCCAAACCTTGGCTCGTATAACAGCCACGATAGCGTCCACAATCCAGTGGGAAAACCTCCTTTTTGACACGGCCTGGCCCTTCGCACAACCACCGTAGCATACGAAAATCTGGTCAGATTGCCGAAAGCTGGCCGAACGATCAATGAAAATCCACAAGCTCTGACGGGGCACACCGAAATCTGAGCATCCGAATCACGCGAGGTCGATGACTCAGAAGACAGGGCAGACAGCGAAACAGTCTGCGCTCTGAGGGGGTAGATAGTGATTTAGGCACATAGCCCGGTCTCGGCCGGAGAGTGACGCTGCAGTCACCGGGTCCGAAGCGAATACAATCGCTGTCCACAGAAAATGCATGTAAATCCCCTATGCACTTAGCTGAAGCGAGGGCAAGAAGAAGTGCAGTGTGAGAGATAGCTCCTTCATAGCAATGGATGCTAAAGGCTTGAATGGTGGCTGTGAAAGAGCTCTTAACACTACCTCTAGGTCGCAGGGCGGAACTGAAGGCGGACGCGGGGGATGCAATCTCCTCGTCCCCTTAAGAAAACTCACCACCAGCGCGTGCCTACAGATCGATTGCCTGCCCAGCGGGGAACGAAACGAGGCAATAGCGGCCAAATAGACTTTCAGTATTGATGGCAGACATACACTATCCAGCCTGTACTGTAGAAAACGCAGAACATCTGACACGGAGAAAGCAGCCGGGTCGATATGAACATCACTGCACCACAAACATAGAGCATACAAACATCTCCTGAAGGGCACCCGCGCCTCCGAGAGCGTCACACCCACAAGAATGCAGGGCGGTCAGCTCCTCTGATATCCCCTAAGCAGCCACACATGATAGCTCCATAACTCCGGGTTGGGGTGCCACACTGAGACGCTCGTTTGAGACAGCAGATCCTTCCTGATGGGGACCGGCCAAGGCGGCGCCACCAGCAGCTTTGTCACGTCCGGGAACCAAGGCTGTTTCGGCCAATTCGGGGCGATGAGTGTCACCGAAGCCTCCTCCTCCCTGACATATCGCCAGCTGCATTATCTTGATCAGAGGAACGCATACAGCCTGGCTGCTGGCCAGTGCGATGTCAGAGCGTTCCCTTCCAGCCATTGAGACAGGGTGAAGAACAGCTGGCAGTGCGCATTCTCGCTCGTCGCGAACAGATCCACCTCCGCTCTCCCGTAGCGGGTCCAAATAATCAGAACTGCCTCAGGATGCAGCCTCCACTCTCTTTGAGGAATCCCCTTCCTAAAAAGGCATTTCCGCCCCGCGGCTCAGAAGCCCGGGGATTTGCGCTGCTCTGATGGAGAGAAAGTGACAGTCCGTCCATAGCAGGAGATTCGCTGCCTGCTTGTACAGAGCCTTGGATCGTACGCCCCCTTGGTGATTTATGTACGAAACCACAGACTTTGTCGGTGCGAGTCAGTACATGTCACTGTTCCAGCTGCGGCCGAAAATCCTTTAGAGCTGTAGCGTCTGGACAAATCAAAAACACAATTTTTAATTTGATTTAACAAATCAGTTATTCATTAGATTAACAAGTCGTCACAGACCCCTCACCCAATATACTGGGTGCCAGGATGTCTGCGAACAACACCAGGCCCCCGCTGGTCCCCATGGCAACTAATGCTGATATCACTGGTTTTATTCTGCTGAATATTTTCTCTCCTCTTTACTATTTAAGCTTTAACCCTTTCCTATACCAACTGTATGCGTGTGTGTGTGTGTGTGTGTGTGTGTGT